GATATCCTGTATCACAGCTCATCAGTGTCGCTAGACTTCCGGTTAGCGCCTCTAGGATCGAAAAACGGCTGAATTGGCGTGAGTCGAAGAATCTAACAATATGCTGTTGGCGCACAGGTAATATGAAGATGAATTTAAGCGTATTTACTTGTAATAAACACCCCAGTGACTGAGAGAAGTCGATTCGTTTTATCGAAAAGTATTGCATTAGTAGCAACACACGTCAATGTTTAAAAACTCACACTTTCTCCATCGAGAGATCAACCGATATAATTTTTTCAGGAACATATATATTGTCATCAACAGACTGTTTCATTGAATCACAGTTCTTCAGTGTGGCTAGAACGTCCGGTTGCTTCTAGCCAGGTTCGAAACCGATTGAACTGGCGTCAGTCGGAGAATCTATTCCTAAGTCGTTTCCGCACAGCATGACGATATATATATATATATATATATATATATATATATATATATATATATATATATATATATATATATATATATATATATATATATATATATAACTTTATATATATATATTTATTGCGTTATATATTCAACTCTATATATTTATAATAATTTCCTATCATTTTTGTTTTATTATATAGGATTTTTTCGACGTTTTGATATTCAACGTCAGGTTTTATAAATTTAATAATTTAATTTCTTAAATTTTTGTTTTTCATTATATGGATTCTTGCAGAAAATCGTATATGGATACCTTACATCAGATTTATAAACGTTATGTAATTTTTCTTTTATTGTCTTTAAAATCCTGTTTTTTTGTTTGGAAGAATATATAAATATATATATATATATATATATATATATATATATATGTGTGTGTTGTGTGTAAATTATATTTATATTTTATTGAAATATATATATAAATATATGAATATATATATATATTTCCTATATATATATATATATATATATATATATATATATGAATATATATATGTCAATATATATATATATAAATATATATATAAAATATATATATATATATATATATATATATATATATATATATTCATATATATATATATATATATATATATATATATATATATATATATATATATATATATATATATATATATATATATATATATAAATATTGATATGTCCACGTAGATGGTGAGTCGGTTTTGTAATAGCTAGAAGCTCGAGAGGAGAAATCAGAGAACCGGATTCAAATTCTACTCGACTTTGGAAAGGTAGGAATACATCTATTCTTCTTCCAGCGAGATATTTCATTCAGTCAACACAGAGTAGTTTCTCTGCCTTCTATCAACATGCATGATTCTAAACTCCAGTAAACCTTCTTGCTTTTTTTTTAGTTTCTTTGCATTTATGGCATATCATTTGAAAGGCCAACAATATATATATATATATATATATATATATATATATATATATATATATATATAAATGAACTTACTCTTTTAACAATATCAGGCTTGCAATTTGGTTAGTTTTGTTTCTTTAATGCCGAAAAGATTTTTAGTGCTGGTAATATTTTTTTAAAAAATTATTGCTGGTATTATTCTTTTTTTTATATTTATTGCTGGTAATATATTTGTTTTAAAAATTTATTGCTGAAAACATTTTTTCAGAAATGTATTGTTGGTAATAATATATAAATGGTAATAATATTTTTCTTTAAAAATTCATTGTTGGTATTGAAACCTATTTTTACACGTTTTGACCTCAGTTTAGGGGGTCAACTATTTGCCTATGGCTGGGACCCTAAAAGGCGCTACCACTCTGAGTCAGAGTGGACATGGGAACAATAGCAATTAAGAGATGGTTTCACGTTTCTCAAAACCTCTTGCTCAGAGGCTACGCACTATTGGTCTCACGTTTTCCACTGACATGAAGTGGGTGACTATATCGAATCAATTGCTTCGTTTAATGCAAGGAAAATTGATTCACTGTATTGAGTCTGCAATGTTTTTCTCTTAAGAATACATCATGCACATTTATAAATCTACCATTCTCCTGTGTATCCAATAATATTGCCACATCTTGTCTGGTGTTCTTGCTGTAAATCTCGAGATTCTTGAGAAAATCCAAGGAAAGCTCTATAATGGAATTGGTCCTGACCAGGCATGTCGATTTCAGTCCGTATCTTCGACTCAACTTGGTTTTCCTTTGTCTTTCCCACAAACATTTTCATGACAACTATTCTGACGAGCGTATTGACCTTGGTGCCACAACTACATGGATTTAAGCGTGCTACTGGATTGGCAACTATGTCCCACTGTTTAACTTTTGAATTAGCTAGATGCAACAACAACATTTATTCTAACATTAGCTTTTCTCACCTGCCTTCAGATTTCTTGCTTCCCTGCAAACTACAATCTTCAAAAATTTAAATGCAAAGTCAATCACCATTATTTTTCTCTTCTGGAATCCTGTTCTTTTTCCCTTTTCTCACATCTCACCTTTCTCAGTTTTCTCATTCTCTTGCCCTGTGTTCTAGTAGAATTACCGCTTTGAATGGTATGAAATAATATTAAAAAAAAGGTGTCAAATCGAAACGTAGTCTGAGTTCTTTAGGCGTAGTTGCCAATAATTCTAGGAAAAGGAAAACTGAATTCGAAGCCGTGCTAAACTCCTGGCGCTGCAGCAGATATAACTTAAGCAGTGCTTTTATTGGATTTCCACCAAAATGCTTCAATACAATATAATCCATTGAAAATAGATTCATCTAATGTATTATGAGAATATTTTATTTATGAAATGGTCGCCCGAACCACTCAAGGTAGAGTGTTTCTTTTAAAATAGCTGCAATAATTTTGGTGATATGAAACAAAGATGGTAAGAAGTGGAGAGTATGAATATGAGGGAGATAGATAACGATTAACCCTGATCTTGAAGTGGATAAAATCGTAGCGTTCGAGATAGAATCTACCCAGAAACCTGTTCTACAAATTAAGGGTTATTGAGAAAAAAACCTGGATATAACTTTCATTTTAAAACTGGAATAGAATGAAGATAAATGTGATTCGATCTTATCTAATGACTTCTAATGCTGATTAGGTGAACCCCATGTATATAAAAAACGCCCGACAATCTTCTCCCTATTGTAGCATCCAACTGCGCTTTTTCAATGAATTTCTAGAGTGTTCCCAGTGCTCCAGTAGTTACTGACAATACTGTCAACATTAATACTTCCCTGCCCAGGGCTCCGTCCCTGGGCTGGTGGTATTAGCTTGGACCAGCTCTGACCAGCTAGGACAAGCTATGACCAGCTAAGACCAGATTAGACCAGCGTCCCGAGTGAAAACACTACGGTCCCCACGTTAAAACCTGACCTTGTCTCACAACCTGACTCAGTGTAGGGTCAAGTAAATATCCATACTGTCAACATTAACATTTCCCGCTGTAGTTATTTTTCTGTAAATGTCTTCTAAATATGAGTTGCCATTGATTTCTAAAATGCCTTGTCTCTAAATTTTCTCATCGTATCCTATTATAAGAATAACCGTAAACTTAAAAGTGACATTTTTTTCAATTTCAGTTAAATGATCCTCATTTATTCATGTATTAAACTCACATATATTTAGCTAATGGTATTACCATCTCTATTAAAAGTCTTTACTCATTATGTCTGATCTATTAGCTTTTTTGTGTCTGCTATCATCACTGTCGCACAGAGAGAAGCCCGGAAAAGGCCCCGCCGAAGGGTAGGGTCTCTTTCGGGGAGGTCGACTGCCTCTGAACCCGTTTATACAGGTTCGAAAGGGAATATTTTTGGCCGAGCCTACGGGCTCGGAGAACCCACGTTAAAACGACTTTGTGCCACATGCAACCCTCTTGGGAGAGGTAACTAAATATACTATCAACAGTGTTCATGTAGAGTATTAAATAAATCTCGATGAAACCCAAGTGCTCCAGGGAATTTACGAAATGAATATAATTTTGATACACCCCAATAGTAAGACGTGTTTGGGTTTCGTCCTTTTCAGTTTATTGAGCTCTATTAGGAATAGCAATAACCTACCAGAGTGTACTAAATTATCGTATATGCCACCAGGCTAAAGCTTAAGTTATACGAGCAGTAGTATTAATGGCATTAATTGTAGCACTAATTAGTCAGAATAGTCGTTGTTAGTAAAATTCTGAAAGAAGGTAACAAATATATGCCAGTTGGAAATCACATTTTCATTTTCTAGAGAAATAGATTTGCGCTAAAATTAATTGCGTGTTCTAATTAATCAGTTTATTACGGCCGACTTGATACGGAAGCTAATTAGCCCGTCATTATGCATAGGATTTATTTCTCATTTAAAACAGAGGCCTTATCCCGTCACTCATTTCCGTCTTCCTCTCGACATATTTCAGCCTATTCTCCTCCGTTTGTCTCATTCTGCCTCTCTTTCGTTTAGTCATGTGATTAAGATTCATTTGAGATCGTCATGATTACAGAATAGTCATTATATAATAATCATTTACTAGAGTATTGTCGTAACTGTTATTTTCCTATTATAATTTGAATTCATATCTTTCTTTTAATTACGTCTTCAAGAAGTGTCATAATCACATGCATTTTCACATCATCATCGTCATCATCATCGTCATAATAATCATCATACGTCTTTTTTCTGCTATGTGTCAAGTCCCTTTCAGAACATCAGCGATCATGGCTCTCAACAAATTCCCGACTACTGTTGCCCTAAGTAACTAGTTCCGTCTTACCATCTACATTTAAGTATTCCATAGCACTTCCTAAACGACTCTACTAATGAAAGAAAGCGAACTTTCCCCACTCCCCCGTGTCCAGTGTATTGATGATGGCTTGGAGCGGGTATGCTTTCGACATAGGTAATCATAGTTGAAATAAGAACGATTTTAAAAAAGGAATATCAACATCCTCTATAAAATATTCGAAGAAATAGGACTCAAGTGTATTCCTGAATTCACACTAGCCTGGAGAGGGTCGGACTCAGTCAGGCTATCTTGCCTAAGACACACTACTACTGCTACCGCTAGATAGATAGATAGATAGATAGATAGATAGATAGATAGATAGTGTTGTAACCTAGGGAAGGTTACTGAATAGAATAATCAAACGAAGGTAATTAACGATAGAACATAAGAACGGCACGTAAAAGAAGAAGTCAACTGCTAGAAGTCAGTCAATTGAATTGCCCAATGACGCTCCAACTGCAGATAAACATAAAATATTTATTACTGTATTTATGTGTATGGGGATATACACATTATCGTCTGTACTTAAGCTACAATAGATAGATAGATAGATAGATAGATAGATAGATAGAAGCAAACTGAAATAGATTGATAGGGACAGATTTAGATAGATGAGGACAGATTTCAATAGATTTGGACAGATTGTTGTATATATATATATATATATATATATATATATATATATATATATATATATATATATACAGATAGATAGATAGATAAATAGATTAGAACTGACTGACATAGATAGATAGATTAGAACTGACGGACATAGATAGATTAGAACAGACTGACATAGATAGATAGATTAAAACTGACTAACATAGATAGATTAGAACAGACTGACATAGATAGATTAGAACAGACTGACATATAGAGATTAGAACAGACTGACATAGATAGATAGATAGATAGATAGATTAGAACTGACTGACATAGACAGATAGATAGATTAGAACTGACTGACATAGATAGATAGATAGATAGATAGATAGATAGATTAGAACTGACATAGACAGATAGATAGATAGATAGATAGATTAGAACTGACTGACATAGACAGATAGATAGATAGATAGATTAGAACTGACTGACATAGACAGATAGATAGATAGATTAGAACTGACTGACATAGACAGATAGATAGATAAATAGATTTGAACTGACTGACATAGATAGATAGATAGATAGATTTGAACTGACTGACATAGATAGATAGATAGATAGATAGATAGATTTGAACTGACTGACATAGATAGATAGATAGATTTGAACTGACTGACATAGATAGATAGATTAGAACTGACTGACATAGATAGATAGATAGATAGATAGATAAGGATTCTCTAATTGTGATTTTAGAAGTGCTTTCTGCTTGGTAAATGATGTGTTGAATGGTGTCATTTTCGGTGACACAGCTTGTTCACTTATGTATCTGCTTGCATCAGCTCATGAAAAAATGACTCTCTTCGTCTTTGTTTTTTTTTTCTCTTTGGATCGTTTTTCCTGAAAATTGCCCGGCATTTAGGACCGAATGAAATGAAGTTCGGAAATAGGGGCACAATACGAATGAAAGCAAAATGGAACAAAAAAATAATGCCCGAGAAAAGAAGAGAAAAGAAAGTATATTCAGTGAATGAAGAGGGAGGAAAAAGGAAGAACATGTGAAGTAAGAAGGAAAAAAGAATAGCAGAGAAAACGAAAAATTGTAAAAGAAAAGAAAGTGAGAAGAGAGAAAATATGGAAATATTTTAATGCAATGGCCGGCTAGTAAGGAGAGATGCAAACATTTAAAATTAAACAAAGAAGAGACGATATGGGAGTGGCTATGCTGACGACATAGGTATTCATAGTTGAAATAAGAATGGCCTCGAAATAGGACTCAAGGTATTAGTTTTAATCTCATAGGGAATGTTGATTTATTGTAATGCTAGGGAAAGCATCCCTAATACTCCACTCCAAGATTAAGTCCTCTGGCAACATGCGGCATAGGAAAACCAACCTCGATGCGTGTCGATGACTCGCCAGCGTGACATACCCAGCCCCTATGACACCGATGCTGGATAAACACCTCTATGCGATCCTGATGCTTACGACCACCACACAAGAGGGAATAGAGCAAGCCGTAAACGATAAAAGGAAAGACGTATTTGGCGTATGCCTCAGCCCTACCCTTCACAGACAACCACCTTCGGAGCTAAGTTCGTTACGCTGCTCCGACCTTTGACTGTAGTTTTGACCAATTCTTCTTCAGCAGTGTCCCGGTCCCGAACCACACTCCAAGAATATGGACAGGTCGGTCAGTCCAGCTAAAGAGCATCGAAATGGTGACTCCTTCCCGGCAAGCCAGAAGGCATGTTTTTGTTAAACTTCGCTCCTTTAACCTTCTCTTACTGCTCAAGCGTCTTCTGTGCCACCTCAATGTCGATGCAGCGTGACACAAAATTGGATATGTCATCAGGGTACGCGGAAACACTCGCTCGAGCACTATCAGGGAAAACGATTCTGCGCGCCCTGTCCCTTAGCCGACGAAGGAAATCTCATAGTGAATGATTGCAAACACTTTTCTCTCCCTTTTTTTAAGACAGAAGCACACACACGCATTCTGGGATTTTTTAATAAACCATAAAATAGCCCGGGTCTCGGTTTTATTTGACTCAGTCCAGTCTGTCTTCACTTGACCGCTCTGTTAACTTCTGTGTGCTAACTTCTATTCATTTATGAGCTTTTTACTTATTATTGTTCTTTTATCTTATTACTGTTGATTTGTCTTGCATATATTGTTTTATATTATTTTTGTCGTGTTCTTCTCTTTTCTTGTCATTACGGATTGCAAACTTTTTCAATTTCGTTTGTTTGTACAGTTCTGTTACTTATTTTGCATTTTACCATAGCTACTCACTCCACGCAAGCTATTTCTGAATTCACACTATCCTAGATAGGCTATAATTATGGAGTTTCTGAAAAGATGCAAATAATAAAAATGAAACAAATAAAATACGATTGAAGGAAGAGAAAATAAGAAGAAAGTAAAAAAGAATAAACAATTCATGATAAGGGTTTAGATTTGGAATGAGAAAGAAATAAAGGACAGTACAATGAGGAACCCTATATATAAACATACCAGATATAATTTTCAAAAACACACAATTATTAAGAACGAGAAGAGCACTAGTTTGAGAAAAATGACCCAGAGAGACCGAGAAGTAAATTGAAATAGAGAGAGAAGATTTAGAATGATTCATTTTCTACGGTTTATCGACCCTTTACAGGTTATTTAAAGCTAGAACATAGTTTTATAATCTAAGAATTTTTTCGATGACATAATAAGAATTTAGTGATACAATGCTTACTAACTGACAATAGATTATGGGAGAAGAGGTGGATTAATACCTTTTCTATTGGTACTTACTCATAACTGAATATAACGATGCAAACGGGAATTGGTTCTCCGATTAACAATTCCAACAATTATATATTAGACTACCGGCACATCCAAGGTTACAACGACGGATATTCCTAAAAGGTCACCCATATAGGTACTGACCAGTCTGGACGTTGTTTAACTTCGCTTATCGTACGGGAACCAATGTTTCAACGTGATATGGGCGTAGGCCTGGAAGGTGAGAGAGAGAATGGAAAAAAGATAATTTCAAAGTTTGATTTGATCCCAAATCTTGTCACTGCCTCTTGAAGAAGAGATGAAGTAAAAATAGCAACTGAAGAGGACAAATGTATAGGAAAGAGAGGGGTAAAGAGAGAATGCGTGGGAGATAAGGTTTGAGAGAGAGTGAAAACGAAAATGAAAAAGAAAAAAAAACATTGAAAGAGAGAGTGTAAAAAATAAAAGAGGGGAGTGACGAATTTTGATTAAAAGAGACGAGGAGGGTTAAAAGAGAAAGAGTCAGGCATAGGGAGAAGTAATGAGTGGGAAAGAGAACGGGGAAAGAAAGGAGAGAGCTAAAAATTAAGTGGGAGTGTTAGTGAAAGAATAATAAATAAATCATGTGTGGAAGGTACGGTTTAAGAGACAGAGAGAGAGAGATAGAGAGAGAGAGAAGAGATGTTTTCGGAAGAGAACGATAGTGCTTATAAGAGTTGATTAGAGAGGAGAAAGAAAGGAGTCTAAATTATATGTGTGATAGAGAGAGAAAAGAGAGAGAGTGAGAGGGAATAGACGTCTTCGCGAGAGAACGACAGTGCTTATAAGAGGTGATTAGAGAGGAGAAATAAAGGAGGAGTCTAAATTGTATGTGTGATAGAGAGAGAGAAAGAGAGAGAAAGAGAGAGAGAGGGGGGAATAGACGTCTTCGGGAGAGAACGACAATGCTTATAAGAGGTGATTAGAGAGGAGAAATAAAGGAGGAGTGTAAATTGCGTGCGTGAGAGAGAGAGAGAATAGATGTTTTGAGTACGACAGTGCTTATAAGAGGTGATTAGAGAGGAGAATGAAAAGAGGGGTCTAAATTGTGTGCTTGTGTTTGAGAGAGAGAAAAAGAGAGAATGAACTAATAAAATGGTCGACTGATTCTAATCGACGAAATCTGTTTTCAGGTTGAGTAACTCGGCGCCTCAATGAGTTAATCGCAATTAACGATTAGTCGTCTGCCCATTTCAAGATGGAGGGCCAGTAATCGAAATATCTTTTCGTTCAAATTAAAAAAAAGGGATTCCTTGAACAGGGAGATGAATGTAGGGGACAGGTGCTGGGTGCATAACACGATTTGATTAATGCAGAAATTTGAGATTTGGTTTGGATGACTATTTTACTAAAAGCGATAAACTTAATCGAGATCATATACAAGGTAGAATACGGAGTCCGTATTAAGTTGTAAAGCTGGTTTACTAAGGATCATTGCGAGCACTTTCGATGTCAACTTCCTATACTATACCTTACTATAGCGGCCATTCTCCTACTTTACCACAGACGTTATCTTACTACATGTGCTATGCTAATACGGCTTTACATCTCTACTACTATTACTACTACTACCACTATCATCATCATCATCATCATTGTCTCATCATCCAGATTAATTTTTAATGCAAATTATAGTTATTTTTTTAAAGAACAAGTAACATCTCTTTATACTTAATACAAAAATTAATATCCATGTGTATAAAATATCTATTTTACATATATATATATATATATATATATATATATATATATATATATATATATATATATATATATAAACCTTTATTTTAAAATTCCAAATATATATTTTTAAATTAAAATTGTAATCACAATATAATATACAACTTCGCTAACATTATGATAAACAGATATTTTTATTAGAATTTAATTTACTTAACGGTCAGTGCAGACTCAGCACCTGAAGACTGCGCTGTGCACGAAACTCAGTAGTGTTATCGTTGAGGAATATATATATATATATATATATATATATATATATATATATATATATATATATTGCATAATATATAAAACAAAAAAAATAATTAGAAAATTTAGATCTATCAAAGAGCGGGAGAAAACTAGACGCGTCAACGTCTAGCTAACTAGAATTGGTGTTTCAATAAAATCACCGTGGAGAATGTAAAGGTAAATAACTTCTGTATCAATCTAATGAAAAGCTCAGGAATTTTAATACTCATATTTTGAAAGATATTTGAGCAGGTGTTTATTTTTAGGCCTACAAGTCATCACTTAAACCATCAATTCATTTCTCTTGCTTAATAAGCTAGGGTTTTGTAGAAGTTTTAAAATAAAGCTAAGACGTAAACTACATCTATTGCCTTTCCGATTTTAAGATTTGGCTCTTGCCGCAATATCTCATATGATAATAGGTCTATTACCGCCATTCTTTAATTGCCAGAAATATTTAGAGCGAGCATTTTTCTTTATGTATTTTATATTGCCTAATTCATTCGATGATGGTAGAAACGAAATTTCAAACAGTTTTCTGTTGGACCAAAATAAAATATAATATCGTTGTTGAAATGTATGGTAGCTCGGTATGCAATATTATCGGTCATACATTGACTGTTTAAGGAACAGGTCGTAATTTTTCGACAGTTGCATTTATTTAAAAAATATCTTTGTCATTGTTTGAAATATATTTATCTAATATAATGTTTTTTTTCTGTTAATATATAGATTTATCGATCTTGATAACGCAGCTATAGCAGATCATAATATTATTTTTATTAAAACTATTTTTTTAGGGTTAGTGAATGATTATCGTGTTTATGAATTAAATTTAGGAAATATTTTACCACATTTGTTTGAACATTACAATTAAATATGGCTTAAACCATATAATGTTGAGCTTACGGTGTTTCTGTTTATTTTTATAACACTCTGATGATGACACTGTGCTAATGTTGAAAATACTCGGAATAAAATTAATATGTATGAATATGTATTTTGATACTCTTCCCTTATTAAAGATACTAAAAAGCTGATCCCTGAATGATGATCCTTGATGATACTATTGAAAATATCTAGACAGATATTGTCTAAATTAGTTAATGAGGCATTCTGCCAAAATATACATTTATATATATATATATATATATATATATATATATATATATATATATATATATATATATATATATGTGTGTGTGTGTGTGTGTGTGAGTGTTTGTGTGTGTCGATTAACTGTAATAATCGTATATTCAAATTACGAACAATCCTTCAAAGACAAGGAGAAATTTTCGTCAGTAATTATTTTTAGTTTATATCAGAAGAAATGTGTAGAAAAAATATCGTTCAGGCTTTCGACTTTCTTAATCCATCGTCGGTGCATGTGGAGACATTTCGTGGGTTTAGTAAGAATTTGAAATGGTGTAAACAGCACTATTTTATTCATAACTTGGAAAATTTGGTCATTAAAATTAATCGACACAAAGTGTATGTTGTTTTGGAATAGTATATGACCGAAAGAACATTTCCTGTCTAAATACAGAGAACAGATATAAGTGATAATTTTAGAATGGATGTTTTATTAATCCGACATATTTTTATGACGCCATTTTAAATGGATACTCGTATTGGAGTAGGCGCTCCGTTTAATAAAACAGTATATTTATTTATTTTTGACCTAATGTCCGTGAATGTTTTTTTAGAGAATAATTGGCGCTCCCCTGCAGAAATATCAACAGTGATTTGACATTTTGTATGGATGGCAACCTTTCAAATATAAAGCAGTTTTGATATTAATGTTTACACTAATTTTATGTCTACACACACTAGGCCCGATATTGAGCATATTTCCCCCATAAATATACCTAATTTCGATATATATAGACTTATAAAAACCCACGTAAACACTTATATATTCGAAGTGCATCATTGTAATTTTGTGAAAATTGTTACGAGGGCTAGATATAACTGATTACATAATTTTTATTTGTTATATCATGAAAATGCTTCTATGAAGATTACATACCAGTTTAAAGGCGACGATTGGAACTGCTCTTCGAAAACACCCTACAAAACATTACTTTTAGCAATGATGATTTTATAGAATGCAGTCAGGAAGTGAAGACAAAATTGAAACTATCTATGCAATCAATTTTTTTTTATTGTCCTAGATTGATGTCAAAATTCTTTCACACACACGCTAGAGTCTAGACGTTCTTCCCTGTGACTTAAGCCGAAGGAGAACTTCGTAGGCAGTCGTTTTGAAGACATTAAGTCAATGAAGGAGGCTGTGACAAGGGTTTGGGACACCCTCACTTCTGAGGACTTCAAGCAATTGCTGGATTATTTAAAAAAAAGCGCATAGAAATCAGAGTTTCCTACTGTAAATGAGATTAGGATTTTGTTCTTTGAACTTAATAAATATCTCTCCTGAAAAAGATTCAAAACTTCTGGAATGAACCTTGTTTATATGTGTGTGCACTTTTGTGGGATTAGAAGGTTCTGAGATAAGTTTTTTGCGAAATTTCGGTAGAAGTTTTCTAAAGTAAGAAAATTAACTTACATAGTTATATGTTGCAAATAGGGTTTCGGTATGTGTCACGTCATATTTTCCTGCTGTTAAATTACGTGTTGCTTTTGACACTGTTCACTACCTTCAAAGTAGTTCTGTTGTTTATGAATTTTGATGTCAGTGTGAGGCTATATACGACAAACCAATCAATGCCTTGTAACAAGGGTAGGACAAGACTTTCGTGCCAATATTAGGCGAGGTGTTGCAAACAACAGCACAAGCGTGAATCAAACGGCTTTTGATAGATAACCAAGGTTATGCTATCAAGTTCACGGATACAGCATTTACCATTTTATGCAGAGCACGGTGAAACAAAGACTTTCGAATCTTGGAAGCAGCGTATATAGAAGTTTAGGTCGACCGTCTTTGTGGAGTCAGAAAGGGAAATTTGTTCGTTCTTTGTTTCTATTAGGACGACTGTCAATAAATGTTTTCCTATTTTATACACTACAGGAAACGATATGCGATTGTTTATTGCATTATTCCTTTTTCCTTTGGTGTTAGTAATATATTTTAATATTAGCCGTCGTTCCTCATTAAACCCTATTGTATATACTTCATTTTTGCTGTGCGAATTTCTTACATTTTGTGTATTTGAGACGGTAAGAACATTTTATTCTTCTGAAGTGTTGGTCAAGAATGATCGTTTAAGAATGTTTTTTGTATATCTAAGGCAATTTACAAATTTATGGCGTTATATATATATGCATATATATATATATATATATATATATATATATATATATATATATATATATATATATATATATATATATATATATATATATATATATATATATATAATAAAAGATATTACACACAACTACACCTAGAAATACACAGTCATATTTATTTTATTACATACATTATTAATAAATGTACGATCAAAAATATATATATATATATATATATATATATATATATATATATATATATATATATAGTGTTAATTTGAGAAACTTTTGAAGCCAAAATTGCTGATTTTTCAGGAATTCTTTAAGGTATTTAAGGCAAGATGTCTTTGTGATTTAATTGGCAGAAATCCATCATCGCAAACAATTCAAATAATATACAAAAACCTCCGAATCCGTTATGAATGAAAAGATCCTTGTTTCTATAAATTTCTGCCGTATTAGTTCTTATTTTACTACAAGCTTTCGTCTGTTCCTACAGACATCTTCAGGTATGGAATAGATGTTGTTCTTGTTTTTTCTCTCAGTAATAAGAGGACAACGAAAATATATGTATTGTTGTATCCGAAAATGCTATTGGAAATGAGTTAATGTTTTTGGAGCATGCAGTAGCAACGCTGAGTTTGATTTTAAATTTTTTACAGTTGTGCGTTCATGTACAAATATGGTGATAAACGAATTTTTTACTGGCAGAAATTTATAGAAACAAGGATCTTTTTCATCATTAACCTTTGCATTTGTTTTTGTGTGAATAATTCATGAATTTGTAAATTGATTGCAGGTTTATCGAAATTAAAATAACTAATCCAAGTGCGACTTTTTGATAATAAGTGCGACATTACTGTAATTATTGAACAATATAGTTCATGCCACTTTGACAGAAAATTTACCAGTAAAAAATTCGTTTATCCACCTGAAGAAGGTCGGAGCGTACAACGGCCGAAACGTTGTGATAAACATGGCGACAGAGATGAGGACAATAGTCCGAATAATGTAAATAATGTACATAGTATACATAATACCTCATCTCAGAAATATAGACGGAGCTATAAATTCTTTGAAGAAAACATTACCACAATGAAAATTTTGTCGGCATGAAAATAACCATTGAGGTTGATATATCGTAAAACAAACCAAACTAAATCAAACCAAAACATGTTTCGGTCTCCGAGGGACTTCCATGCTGGCATAGATGCTACATTCGAGGGTGACGATTTAGATTTATCAACAGTAGAAATGTGGGCAGCTGA